ACCATTCCTGTTTTTCCTACCAGGTCAGTATTCCCATTCCCAGGCACAAAAGCCAGAGGTGACGCAACTGGGGCTCTCTGGGGTTATATAAGGGCTTTCACTTCTCACCCTGGGGCACTGGACACCTCCAGCTCTCACCTCCAGCCAGACTGCTGCTGAACTCTCATCCCAGCACCTTCACTGCTGCTCAGATCCTTTTAGACATGGAGCTCCTCGCCTGGATCATTGTCCTTCTCCCAGTTTTCCAGATTTCTGCCTCTCCAGTGCTGGTAGGTGGGGCTACTTGGGAATTTTAAATGTAAATCCTTCTCCAATCATGTTGAAGTATTGCTCCTGTTATTGGGATATTGGAGACTTTGTAAAAGCCATGATACTCATCTCTTATTTGTTTTGTAATGTCTTTTAGGTTACAGAGAGAGTCCAAACAGCAGAGGATAAAGGTGGTGAGTGACAATGTCTTAGAGAAAGAGGACAAATGAGAAAAAACAACAAAGACAAGTGAACTACAGGCCTGTGATGAACTAAACATACCGAACACATAACATATTAGTCTATTGCAGCTGTCCTTGCATAAGTTGGGGAACATTCATTATTTGAGTATCATGGGTATATAAGGGTATGTGATAAGGTTGTGTACTGGAGTGTTAGGAATCTGCATCTGTGAGCTCTTGTGTTCACACTAGGTTATTGTGAACACTGCACAAGTGTACGTTTCAATAAAGGTTTATACTGTACATGGTTTCTCCTTTGTTAGATGAGGATAGCAGTGCTGACCTGGATTGATCAAAATTTGTTTCCAGTTTTGGGTCCATAAATAGAAAGAAAAAAATGACATATTGATTAAAGTAATACATACTAAAAAATGACCAATTCTCCCCTCTCTGCCTGGTGGGTTTTGTCATTTTGTTGTGATGGTTCACACTGTATAAAACACTGACAAGATCATGTCTGAGCTAAATTAACCTACAGCATTCAAGCTGATATTCTCAAGTGTATTGCACTTTACTCCAAACAATTTCTCTACACTCCACCTCTTCGGAATTAACTAATGTTTTTGTGCCCTGTTGTCTCAGGCGATGAAGTTTCTGCCATGGAAGTGATTATTAATGTCAACTCTGTGGAAAGTAAGTGTCATTCATTATTCTCAAGTGTCAGCTGGCCTCCCAGAAGGACAGGATGAAGCAAGTAGTTTTAAGAGACAGTCACTGCTTTAGAATATTGTCCACTTAAGAACGTTTTTCCCCCAAGTTGCCCAACAACTGAAGATGGAATGAAAAACTCTGTCAATGCTTTGCTAAAGTGATTTAATGGATGTATTAATTAAATGGCATTTTAGATGGTAGACTTACAGGGATATGCGACTTTAAAGCACCTCATATCAGGTACTTTTACTTACTCAGTCTGGCGGCACTTAATTGCTTAAATGTGACTTAAATGGCAAAAACTAGTGCATGTTAAAATGCTCTCATGAAGAGAAGACCACCAATATTGAAAAAGTAAAGACAAACAAATTAAAATTTAACAACTGGTTCTGATGTCTGTAGCAAATACATGGCAGTTTCAGTTGTGTAAAAATGCACATATTATATCTCATTTCTTTAACTTCAAAGGAATGGTCAAATGACAGGAAACCTCAGTCTCTAATTAAATTGAGAGAATTTAATGGACTCTTCCTTCTGTTTTTTGTTCCAGCAATGCCCTTCACATCACGCCACTCCATCAGATTTACAGATATTGCCTACTCCAACCAGAGGAGCGCTCTGATCTGCCCCAGGGGTCGACAGTGCTTCTGGCCCAAGTCCTCTGATGGAGCTGTGTACATACCATACGTCATAGACCCAGTATTCTGTGAGTACACCTTTACATATCAATTTCAAACTTTTCATTCAGACAAGGTACAGTCCAGTCTTACACAGTACCTCGTCTCCTTTGAGGAATTTAAATCCCATTTCCAAATAGCTTTGTGCCCTTGTGTTAGTTATGAATCTGAAATGACTATACACAGTGATACATTAGCATAATCAGTCTTATGATTCTTTCAAGGAAAAATGACCAGGACTTATTTTTCCCCTTTTATTCCACAGCTGTTCCTCAAAGAGTTCAGATCAATCAAGCCCTGTCTGCGATCTCCACTGTCACCTGTATCGTCTTCACTCCCCGATCCAGAGAGAGAGATTACTTAAACTTCCGCTCCCTCGATGGGTGAGTTCAACATTATACAGAATCCTTTAGTCAAATTCACAGCAGAGCAGAGAAGGTGGCTCTGAGGTTGGAACTCCAAAATTTACTGAAGATGTTTTTTTATAAAACATTTGCCCATCCTATTTAAACAGGAAAAGCTCCCTACAAGTGGGAAAATGCATATAACCTTCACTCTCTTCATTAAGACTTCAATTTCAGGCATTGTAATAGCAAAGTTCTTTGTTGTTCATAGACAAGCAATCACCTAAACCTCTAAGTGAAGAAATAATACTTTTACGCCAATGTTTATAGATGCACGGCATGGAAATTTTAAATTGTTTAAATTTTATTTCAGATTTTGCATTGCTTTTTTATGCAGCTATTTGTTTTTAAGCTAAATGTTGATTCTGGCTGGTCTGCGTTTTGTAATACAAATCTTGAGCGGTAGCAAGGGATAAATGTTAACATCTGGAAAAGATTTCCATAGTAAATGGAAGACTTCCACGGTAAATGTAGTGTATCGGTCAATATAGTGTTTAATGATTGATGCACAGGTGTCGAGTTCTTGAATTTTGGATGATTCTGATCAATGTGAATTAAATTTTTTTGACAAGCTTGGTTTCTTCTCCCCAAAACTAAAGGCATTGATAAAACTGGTGATGCTCATAACATACAGTAACCTGTATAAGACTTTGAAGGTTTTGCACTGCAGAGTATATTGAACAAAAAACATTATAATATAAAAGCTTAACTCCTGTCCTGAGACCACAGAACCCCAATCAGTGGTGTAAAATGTTGTCTTTTAGAAGTGCAAGGATACAAAAGTTCAGAGCTTTTTTTTTTGGGGGGGGCAGTTTCTAAGAAGTCACTTAATAAATATGTTTTTCTGGTACGTTACTGTCAAATGAGATCTGCTGCTATTTTGTGTCACTGCTGTGGGACCAGTGATCTAACAGAGGATCCAGATGAGCACAGGAGCGTACATTGTCTTTTCATGTTGTAAAACACTGATTTCTGGTCTGTTGTGTGTCTTTGGTTTGGAAGCTGTTGGTCTTCCCTTGGACGCACAGGAGGGCAACAGGACATCTCACTGTCCAGGACTGGCTGCGTGCAGAAAAACATCATCAGCCATGAGATGATGCATGCCCTGGGCTTCATCCATGAGCACAACCGGGGCGACAGAGACCGCTACATCAAGGTCCTGTGGGATAACATCACGCCAGGTGTGGAGCACTTACTGTCAGGGGTCGGTTACTCAGGAAGATAATTAAAAAGCTAATTTGTGCATAAAAGATGCAATAGGTCCAATTTTTCTTAAGGACATTTAGCTAGCTGTATCAGAATTTCCTTAAGAAAAACATGTTTTGACGTGTTTTTAACACAGTAAGAGCAGCACTACGAAGGCTGGACCTACTGTAGATTATATTGGTCTGGTATTGGATTGGAAGTTTTCTTTTGATCTCCTTTGGGATTTTTATATGAACCTCTTTATCTTAAGGTTTTTGCAGACGCCTCCCTACAAGGTTCCTGTTTTCCTGAGTAGGAAAACTGAGAAAATGTCTGTTGGCAACATAATCTTGACTAGTGAGGATGAAGACAAAGCTGTGTCTTGAAACAGAGGAGCAACATTCGTATCTGCTGTCCTTTGACCAGTTTTCTCTTTGGTGCTGGGGAGTCTTTAAACCAAATAAAACCTGACCCATTGAGAGGCTGTAACTTACTGCAAACTAAATTAAATGTTTTCTGTTCCGCAAGGTTTTGAAAGTGACTTTGTTAAGAGAGTCACCAATAACCTGGGCACTCCTTATGACTATGACTCAATTCTGCATTACAAATCGTAAGTGAAATATTCAGTATCTTCTCTTTGGGAAATGAGATGAAGGAATCTCACATGTTAAACAGAACTTTCTTCTTGTTGAAGAAAACAGGCAGTGTAAAAGCTGAATGTGATCAATGATGAAATGTCTTTACAACATCTGTCATCTTCACCAGGAGCCCTTACTGATCTTGCATTAGTTCTATAGGGAGAGGTTTTCTTGACTGTTATGTGTTTAGATCTTATGATCCTTTTTTGAAAGGAGAAGAGCATATTCTCTTCCTCATTGTAATAGTAAGCACTTTACATGTACACAGTCTCTAAAAAAGAATCTCAACTGATTTGAATATTCTCATCTTTTGGGTATTTCTCAGAAAGGAAAACATGGTTCCACTTGTTCCACTACCGTTACATTGAGCTGTTTACAATCTGAAACATTGATCCATGATAAAGCCGAAAACCTCATAAAGACTTTTTTCATTTCAGGGGATTTTTTGCTAAACACAGTGGTTTGAAAACACTGGTACCCATTCCGGACAGCAACAGGAAAATAGGTCAGAGCAGCTGGCTGACCAAAACGGATATCCTGAAGATCAACAGACTTTATGAGTGTAGTAAGTCTCTTTTCAGACTCCATTCACTGGTTTCCCTTCCTTTCACATACCAGTTCCTGAACCAGGGCTTCAGGATTTGTCTCCTTCAAGGCTTAATCTCTTCCTTTAACCCCATTTCATCAGAAGGAGAATCTAAGAGCAGGGCTTCCACCCATACCCCTACAACCAAGACAACTGGAACAACCAGAAGAGCCACTCGTCCTGTTGTTGGCCCCACCATTGAGCCCAACACCCCCACAGGAACAGGTAGATCTGCTTCTTCTGAATGCTTGGCAGTAGAACGCACAGCCCGCTTTCTAATACTCAGTTACACT